TCCAAGACATCTGGCAAAGTGGAGGGTGTTTCCAGCACTCCTAGAAGTCACATGGATATTTCAAGACAGAGAGACACATGAGCTACCTGCATCTTAAAACTTCATTCCAACAAACTATTGTCATAAATACTAGTGGTCACTATCACAGAAAGTGTCCATGTAATTTCCCTTTGATTTCTTGCCATTTCCAGGTTTTACACAAGCTTACAATGGTAGCTCAGTAAGCTAAAGGCTTTGAACAAATCCTAGGCTGCTGCTTCTTTTTTTTTTTTGGTCCAACTTTTGACAGTGAAACCAGCCTGAAGGGCCCAGCCTGGCAAGGCAAATTCCCAATGGTTTATGCAATGTCACTTTCTTGATGATTAACCTGAATAAATCATGCTGGTATTTTCAGTATTGCCCTTTATATTCTTATCAATTTTCAGAGCAAGAAGAAATTAGCCCAGTCCTCTCATTGATCTTGTGAGGAAAATTGTTCACAACAGGGCTTCTACTGCTAAACAATGAACACTACAAATAAGTTATCAGTTTACTTTTAATCAATAAAGCTTCTCATGATGCATTATTCTGGCAATTGGTCTAAATCACTGTGACTGTAACTGTTGTTTTCAAAACCTTTTAATCTAATTGGAAAATCTTCCTTTGTACTAGTAATAAACACTCACTAAACTGTCTGCACCTAATTGAGCTATAATAATTTATGGGTGCTCCTTCCTGTTGTCCCCCTTTTAATCAGACAGACTGCTTTATGTCTTTAACTAATGAAACCTAAGAATCCACCCTGTAGATCTGGTCAAATGTCACTAGTGAATAAATCTTCATTAACACCGGCAGGTTCTAAACCTAGTCTCCATCTTAATTTAATTATTTGCTCACAATTGTACTTTTGTCAGGTTGCAAACACTCTTTCTCCATTTCTTCAAGTAACGTGCTTTCATCCGCAGATCTACTTATGCAGCGCAGCCGCTGGGCAGCCAGAGTCTGTGTAGCCTTGGAATGAAAGCACAGCTGACTTGCTGGTCTAAGCAAGACCATGTTTCCAGCCCCGGGTCCTGCTTCTGTTTCGGCTTCCTCTGCTACTTCTACTTACTACCTTTGCCAGGATAAAAACACACTGTTATCAGTTCACCCAAGGGGTCTCAACCCTAGTAAGTTAAAGCACACCACCAAAAATCAGAAAAGAACACAAGATAACCCAACATTTGTTAAGAATAGAAAATTCCCCCAATAGCTATTTATCCCAGTAGGAAAGTTTTCTTTAGAAACTGTGGTCAGAGCACAAGGAGTTAGTTAGATGATATTAAGATTGGAGGAGTGTCACAAAGCTGGCACCTACCAATGACCGACCAGATCCACTGGAAAGTCTCCATTAACTCTATCTGTGATGAGCTGACATAGAACTTATTTCCATGAACTGTTCTCAGAAGCACTGACTGATCACGTTTATTTTAAAAGTTTTCTTTTTTGAATCCCATCTGCTTCATTTTGAACCATGACATTATATGATTTATATGATTCCAAAAAAGCATACCACCCACAAGTGACTTGGGTACCTTAAAATTAGTAAAAGAGAAATAGATGCTAACAAGCAGGAGCTGGATCAAAAGAAGCAGCAATAATATTAGCCACGAGAGAGCTAGTTTAATTGCTACTTAACAAATGCTTATGTGGTTTTAACCATATGTCAGGTACTCTAAGTCCTTTGCAAATTTTAATATTTAAAAAAACCCAAAGAGGTTGCTCATATTTTATAAAAGTAACATTTTCCAGCTGAGGGAACTGAGACACAGAGAGTTTAAGTACCTTGTTAGGGTCAAAGAACTAAGGAGAGGTAGAACTGGAAACCAAGTCCTGGTGGACAGGCTTTGGAGTTCATTCTTTTTCCTCCACATTATGCTATCATTTTGCACAACTGTTATCTGGCTTGATTCTGAGTTCCAGAATGTAGGGCAAAAATGGAGCATAATGATACCTCAGGGAAGACATTCCTCTTGGTATTTAATTATAAAAAGATGTCTTTGCACTTATTCTGGAGAACTACAGTCTCTCAGAATAATCATCCAAAAAAGATTCTGTGGCTTAATGAATGGGGGAACTTTAACCATGTTATAACTTCTTTGGAAATTCACAAAGCACATTAGTATGCTGAAGGCTTTGGATGTGCAATGCAGACATTACATGGGTATAAACTAGTATTTGCAAACCTGCTCAACGTCGGAACAATGTTTTCTGGAACACTCACTAAAATCTTGCAGAACTAATAACTCTCTGTGAATCATTTTTATAAGCAAGTTGTGAAAGTCTTATTTAATGTGGGTCCTTAGTGGGGCGCAGAATAATATGCTCAACATATCCTTGGCACAAATCCAAAAAACAAATACTGCATTGGTTTTTACACACTTTCATCAACTTTTTTTTTAATTGAATGATTAACACTGAAGTACAATGTGTTAACGGAGAAAGCAATGGCACCCCACTCCAGTACTCTTGCCTGGAGGATCCCAGGGATGGGGGAGCCTGGTGGACTGTCGTCTGTGGGGTCGCACAGAGTCGGACACGACTGAAGCGACTTGGCAGCAGCAGCAACAATGTGTTAAAGATGGTCCTGAATAAAGCTAGACTATATATAATCTTCCTATGGTCATTATATGAAATGGAAACTGAGTACTTGCCACAATTTCCAAAACTATTACTTATATTATTCATGTTTCATATTAGTTGCTTCCCAATTGAAATTTTTTAAAAACACTTAAGATAATCTTAAACCATGCATTAAATGGGAGTAAAGTAAGTGTATTCCACAATACAAGAGTTTTTATGTCCATAAGGGAGGTCATTTTTTCTCACCATGGGGGCAATTACTGACCCCCCACCCCAAGCCTTGTTTTTCTGATAAGTTTTACATAGCCTTTTCTATTTTAGGCCTACAGTTGACTTTTGTGTAGTACCTACAATATGTCTTTATGCAGTACGGGAGAAGTTCTTATCTTTTCCATTTACGCTTGACTATTCTTCAGTGGTTCAGAGTATGAGCTTTAGACTGGTCAGAATGTGGTTAGACATCTATCATCCACTTGTTAGTTTTGCAACTTTGGTCAAGTTACTTTACCTTGATAAGCCTTTGCTTCTTGACTTATACAGTGTGAATAATGATAAAAAAAACAATTCAAATGGTTATTGTGATGGCTGACACATACTTATGAAGTATCAAGTGTGGTATGCAGGTATCACTCAGCAACTGGTGTCCATGCCTATTACAGCTTCAAACTAAAGTTTCTGCTGGACACAGAGGAGGCCTTGTTAACAGATTTCTGAGTTTTACTCCCAAAGTTGCTGCTTCAGTGGCTCTGGGACAAGTCCTGAGTATCCTCATTACTAATAACTTCCCAAGTGATGCTGCTGCTATAGGTTTTAGGATCATATGGTGAGAATTAATGCCATAGAGTTCCTGACAAATGTTTTATAAAAAGAGATGCTGTCTCGAAACATGTATATTATCTAGGGTGAAACAGATCACCAGCCCAGGTTGGATGCATGAGACAAGTGCTCGGGCCTGGTGCACTGGGAAGACCCAGAGGAATCGGGTGGAGAGGGAGGTGGGAGGGGGGATCGGGATGGGGAACACACGTAAATCCATGGCTGATTCATGTCAATGTATGACAAAAACCACTACAATATTGTAAAGTAATTAGCCTCCAACTAATAAAAATAAATGGAAGAAAAAAAGAGAGAGATGCTGTCAAAGTGATCATACTATATCAGGAACATTTATCAGAGGCATTTAACATATACACCTATTAGATATGTTAAATAAAAAGGCCTTTAGGCAGAATTATTGTCTTAGAGTCTGCCAAGAATAGTATTTGTGTAGAGGTACACAAATGTCTTCAGCTGGTCTGCATTTGTCTTTTATTGGCCTGAGATGATTTCTTCTTCCAGAACAGCATTGCATTCAAGCTTGGTGCTAAGCAGCAATGTTTTGTTTCATTGTTGTTTTGTATCAAATTCCCATGCTGTCACATTATTGTGGTCTGACTTATTAGAGCCCATTTTACACTCTCCCAGGTCTGTCTCAATGATGCCATCAGGATGGTTCTCCCCGAAAAGTTACCCAATGAGAAGTAACATTCCTGAGTCACTGTGGGCCCCTGAGTATGCAGCCTGACTAGACTCATTGAAAAGTTCATCTTTTCACCTTAGAACAGATGGAAGCAGCTGGAGGAGATGATAGACAGAAGAGGAACAGACTTCATTATACCTTCTGAGTTAATATGGACCTGGGAAAAATACAATGATTTCAAAGTTTGTCCTGATAATTGGGAAAACCTTCTTAATTAGAGATAATGTCAGAAACGTAGCTATTCTCCCAAATTCCAGCTCACCTACCATCTGCTACTGATAAAGGTTGGCAATTAAGGAATGTTAAGAGTAGGTTCTAATTTCCTTCCTACACGCATATCTTGTTCCCTTGTTGCTATTTGATAGCCTTAATTGAAGCCCACGTGTGAATCACATCTTCTGCTGCATGCTGGCTCCTTCTGCCTGAATATGCAGAAACCATCATAAATCCAAAGTTGCTTTCTCCTAAATGTCTGTTGTTAGAAACATAATCCTATACTTTTCAACTTTTCTGTGTGTACTCATCTATTTATCCATAATTACTCTGAGTGTGGCATTGATAGCAGTTCTAAATTTAATTCCCCAAGAATGGCACTTGCTATTAACCTAATCCTTCTCATTAGTAAATGATGATGCAGTGAAGTGGCAGCCTTTCTCACCAAGCCCTCACCAGTGTACTGAAATCTCTGTGGTCACATTCTATCCACGTCACCTCTTTTATAAGTCCTAGAAACAAATTTTAGCATCTCTATTTTCAGTAGGGAAATTTTGTTTCCTGTGCTTTGGGTACTGCCAACAGAGAACAGAAAAAGAAGAGCAGTATTATGCTGGAAGTAATTTATGACTGCCTGCCAAGGCTCTGGTTGTGTGGGAATCAAGAGCTTGTTTGCCCTCCTACTGTCAGATAAAACTGTGACATTCTGGCTCCATGTTGCCATGGCGTCTTTTGGAAGAGAGATTCATCTCATGCACTGACCTGGAAAAGTACAAAATAACTGTTTCATTGAGGCCATCATAAATATATCTCTACATCTCTACAAATGGTGTCTGGAATCCATGCAAGATCTCTATCTGCATTTACAAAATTTATTTATATCCAGCATCTGTTTGATTTTTCAGTAATTATTTGAGCAAAAACTGAAGACCCAGATCCTGATAATTTTTCACTTTATCACACAATGCAAAAAAGCAGCAAAATGCAGGCAGTTATTCTTTGTGGAGCACTTTTAGAAGCAAAACCATATGCTGTCCTTATTTGTGATAATTATAAATGTTTAAATATTTAAATGTAGTTGTTTTGAAATTTTAAAAAATTAACTCCAAAACAACTTAATGTTTACAACTCAATACCTAGAATGTCTTACATACAAAAAATTGTTTATACATATACCTGTGCAGATAATTGCAAATGGCTTTCATGTGTTTGCATGAATAATCAAAGTAGACTATACATTAATACATAATTTTGTTCTTTTCAAATAGTCCTCCTAGCACTTGAAGTCCTTGAATTTTAAAGTTAGGACTTCAAAACCGTCTACTCTACTGATTTGCAAGCTTGAATATTCATTATAATAAGCTTTGGAGCTAAAGCATATATACTTGAACCCCAGGTAGGTATGAATAGGAGTTTGAGATTCTTATTCCTGGATGGATAAGAATGGGAACCTGGCATGTATATTTTTAGAGGTTTCACAGATCACTCTGATGGGTACTTGTATTAGTTTCCTAGAGCTGCCATAAAAAATTATCATAAACTGGGTGGCTTAATACAATGGAAATGTATTCCCTCACAGTTTAGGAGGTTGGGCATCTAAAATCAAGGTGTCAGCAGAACCATGTTCTCTGTGAAAGCCCTGAAAAGAAGAATCCTTTCTTGCCTCATTTTAGCTCCTGGGGTTGCTGGCAATCTTTATTATTTCTGGGCTTGCAGCTGCACTGCTCCATTCCCTGCGTCTGCAGCCACATGGTCTTCTTCCCTTTGGGTCTGTGTTTCCATATTGCTCCTTATAAGGAGACCAGTCATTGGATTTAGGACTCTAGCTATACAGAATGGTTTCATTATAACTTGATTACACCTGCAAAAATCCTATTTCCAAATAAGGTCACATTCACAGGGACCCAGGGTAGGAAATCAATATACGGGTATGGGTAGGGAAGTGACACCATCTAACCAACTAAAGCACTCAAAGTAAAAAGTTCTGAACTAGTGTCTAAAAGCCACTGATACCATTGTGTTTAAAACAAAGAAGTTAACAACTTATATTACTTCTCTCTTGCTCTATAAGTAACTGCTTCCTCCACACACAATTAAAATAATAAACTTTTATTATTCAACAGTTTAGGAGGATCAAAGAAGCCAGAAATAGCTTAGTTGGATTGTTTTAGCTCAGGTTCTCTTATGAGGTTTTAGTCAAAACTGGTGTTTGAGGTTATAGTCATCTGAGGCTTAAGCGGGGTTGGAGGATCCACCTGGAATCTCACTTGGTTCTGCAATGTTAGTGGCTCTAGGTCCCAGTGCCTCCCCAGGTCAGCCTCCCCAGAGGGATGTCTGTGATGTGGCAGCCAGCATCTACCAGAATGAGGGATCTCAGATAGAAATGGAGAAACCAAGGCAGAGGGCCTCTGGTAACCTAATCTTGGAAGTGACATACCATTTGTTCTGTCATACTTAATTGGTGACACAGACAAAGGAGAGGGCCATGCAAAGTTTAATACCAGGAGGCATAGATCAGTGAGGGCCCTGTCGGAAGCTGGCTAGCATGGGTGGCGTGTCAGGCATTTTGACTTTAGGACCAGAAACACAATCTTTGCCACTCAAGATGTGATCCAAGGGTTGACATTACTTGGGAGCTGAGTAGAAATGCTGAATCACAGGCTATATCTCAGACCTAGTGAATTAGACCTTTCGTTTAATAACATCTCCAGGTGATTTGCACACACACTATATTCTGAGAAGCACTAGGCCAGAACAAATTAATGACTCAGACACATTGCCCTTTACAAAGCAGTGCTTTGAGCAGTACCCCTAGTCCAAAGAGACTGTCATTGCTTGAAATCTGCTATGAACCTGACTTTGGGACAGAGCACAAGACACTCCAAGAGATCAACATTTTCCCCTGGTGGCAACACTGTCTTACTGTAATCATAACGACATTTTACCCTTTTACCTGGTCACACAAATTTTATTTAACCCAGTTGCTTCGAAGGTATTTATTTTGGGGGGCTTCCCTGGTGGCTCAGTGGTAGAGAATCCAGCTGCCAATGCAGGAGCCATGGGTTCCATCCCTGATCCAGAAAGATCCCACATGCTGTGGAGCAATTTAGCCCGTGCCCCACAACTATTGAGCCCGTGTTCCCGAGGCCGGGAGCTGTTATTGAGCTCATGTGCTACAACTACTGAAGCCCACACACCCTAGAGCCCATGCTCTGCTAAAAGAGAAGTCACCACAATGAGAAGCCTGGGAATCACAACGAGAGAGCAGCCCCTGCTGTCAGCAACCACAAAAAAGTCCACACAACAACAAAGACCTGTGTGGTCCACACACCGACCACAGCCAATAAATAAATAATTTTAAAAACAAATCTTCTTTAAAAAAGATATCTACTTTTAAAATACAAGAGTCCACATAAAGAATAAAAATCTACAGTAGCAATATTAAAAATGTATCACATCCTCCAAAGGTCATATGATCCCAAACTGTAATGCTCTTTTCAGAAACATTGCCATGCATTTCCAGCCTCTTAAAAGTTTGAAGGAAAGATTATGGCCTTGCCCTCAAATCACTGAAGCCAGTGGTGAACTGAATCTAGCTATAAGTACAACAAAACTCAGACAAAAATAAAAGATTATATTAACTCAGGCCTTTGTACCAACAGTTTAAGAGAAGAGGCATGATGTCCAATAAAACATTGTACACCGCTTCCCAAAGCCAAGGAAAATTTCTCAACTACATGGAGAATAGCAAAGACCATCATGGTGCCAAACACCACAGATAGGAGTCCAGATGCCCCTACCCACTTCATCTTGTTATCAGATTTTCCAGGGAAAACAATGCAGCAAGCAACGTATAAAATAATGCTTTACTTACACAGAGACGGACAGCACGTGATCAGCTTCTGTAGTGAGTGTTGATTCTTCGTGGCCTGCAGGTATCTCTCAGGAGCCAATACAGGGGAGTTCTCCTCTGTACAGCCGTGTGCCGCAGTGGAAGGGCCCCGTGCCATCCCTGCAACAGACAGACAGAGTGGCAGGGCTGGTCAAGGGCCCTGATGGCACATATTCAAGCAGAACCACAGAGAACCTACTGAACATGAAACAGGGAAAGGTTATTTCTATACACTAAGCATGACATAGGCTGTGTAAACTCTTAATTTTTTTTAAATTGAATGAAAGATTCTTTAATTTCTATAATGCTTTACAGTTTACACAATGTTCACACACACATGATTTTATAGAATCCCATAATCACCATTTTAGAAAGTTCCTTACTCCTATATTGCCCCCCTTCCCTTCTCACCACTTGTAACCACTAGTTTGTTCTCTCCCCTGCATTGGCTGCCTAGAGAGACCTGCAGGCCATGAGGAATCAGCACCCACTACTCTTGCCTAGAGAATTCTGTGGACAGAGGAGCCTGGTGGGCTGCTGTCCACGGGGTCTCACAGAGTCAGACATGACTGAAGTGACTTAGCGTGCATGCATGCATTGGAGAAGGAAATGGCAACCCACTCTAGTGTTCTTGCCTGGAGAATCCCAGGGACAGAGGAGCCTGGTAAGCTGACGTCTATGGGGTCACACAGAGTCAGACATGACTGAAGTGACTTAGCAGCAGCAGCATAGAAGCTGATCATGCTTTGTCCATCTCTGTGTAAGTAAAGCATCATTTTATCCACTGCTTGGTGCATTGTTTTCCCTGGAAACTCCGATAACAAGATGAAGTGGGCAGGGGCATCTGGAGGACTCCCATCTGTGGTGTTTGGCACAGTGATGAGTCTGTTTCTTTTTCTGTTTTATTCACTAGTTTGCTGTATTTTTTAGATTCCACATATAAGTGATAATGTATAGTATTTGCCTTCCTCTGACTTATTTTACTTAGCATAATGTCCTCCAAGTCTATCCATGTTGCTGTGAATTGCAGCATTTCATTTCCGTTAATGTGTGTGTGTGTTATTTGCTCAGAGTGGTGTCTGACTCTTTGTGACCCATGGACTGTGGCCTGCCAGGCTCCTCTGTCCATGGAGTTCTCCAGGGAAGAATACTGGGGTGGGTTGCCATTACCTTCTTCAGGCGGTTATGGCTGAGTCATATTCCATTGTATGTGTGAACCACATTTTCTCTATCCATTCATCTGCTGATGGACACTTGGGTCTCTTCTATATCTTGACTATTGTAAATAATGCTGTTATGCATATTGGGCTGCATGTATCTTTTTCAATTAGTGTTTATGTTTTTTCAGACATATACCCACATGTGGAATTGCTAGATCATATGCTAGTTCTATTTTTAGTTTTGTGAGAAATCTCCATACTCTTTCCATAATGGGTGCACCAATTTATATTTCCATCAACAGTGTAGGCGGCTCCCTTTTTCTTGGTTAAGGAAGTGTTCCAGGCCCAAGGTCCATTCTTAGGAGGTTGAGTGGGAGTCAAAAGACTAAATATGAGCCTGCCTTTCCCAACACACAGATTTTTCTATGTGGAAAATAATACTTATTTAATGTCATATTTTCTTAATATTTTATGATAAAAACTTAAGACACATAAAGAAGTTAAAAAACACATATAGTCAAAAGAGGAAAGAGTCAATAAAATCAGACTCAGAGATTGCTCAGATGTTGGAATTTTCAGATACGACAGAATAACTGAGAAATAATTTAGTGTTCTAGAGCAAAGATTAGTAACTTAAGGGGAGAGGTGGAAACTATAAGAAGGACCAAGATTGGAGTTTCTATGGATAAAAAATATGATATAAATCACAGAGAATTTATTTGGTGGGCTAATGTGGTCTGGGCAAGATGGAGGAAGATTTAGTGAACTTGAATCAATGTCAGTGAAACTTGAATCTGATACTTATGAACACAGATTCAAAATCCTTAACAGAATACAGTGAATCAAATTATGCAATACATAAAAAGGATAATCCATCACGATCAAGCAAAGTTTTTCAGAACTGCTCAGTTAGTTCAGTATTCAATTTTACCAACTTAATTACCATATTATGAGGAAAATATAAATTAACCTCAGTAGGATCAGAGCAGGCATTTGATAAAATTTAGCACTCATATTGAAAAGAAGTTCCAGTAAGTGAGGAATAAAAAGAGGCTTCCAAGGCCTGACCTATGTATGAAAAACCTCATACACCCAACACCATTCTAAGTGATGAAATATTCACTTTTCCTTTAAGACTGGGAATAATGCAAGGATATAGACTCTGACTGCCATGCTATAATATAGGCCCATTATATATTTTGGAATCACAGGTTCTCACCAAGTAAGCTAAGGTAGTCTTATCCAGGGAAGTCTTATCCTCTACTTGTCTTTTGCTTCCATCCTAGAATTTGAAGATAAATGTATCATAGATATAGAAGATCAAACCAGTCAATCCTAAAGGAAATCAATCATGAATATTCATGGAGGGACTGATATTGAAGCTGACGCTTCGATACTTTGGCCACCTTATGAGAAGAGCAGACTTATTGGAAAAGACCTTGATGCTGGGAAGAATTGAAGGCAGGAGGAGAAGGGGATGACAGAAGAAAAGGTGGTTGGATGGCATCACTGACTCAATGGGCATGAGTTTGAGCAAGCCCTGGGAGATGGTGAAGGACAGGGAAGCCTGGCGTGCTGCAGTCCATGGGGTTGCAAAGAGTCAGACACAAGTGAGCTACTGAACAACAATGATAAATACAGTAGTGATAGTCTCACACTCTGGTGTCCTTCAAAGTCTTAGGACATCATTCACTTTATTAATTCAGAGTCTACTATATGTCAAGCACCTTGTTAGGTGATAATTATTTGTATTTTTCTTTCAAGAACATACAGATAGGTAGAGGGAGTAAAATAAATAAATGGAAATACATAAGAGAGGCTGACAGTGTGCACCTACAGAGATCAGCACAGGTTGCCATGGGCACATAGGAGGCCCCTGACCTAGCTCGGGAAGGAAAGGCCAGAGGAAGTGGGGAGAGCCTTCCAGGAGCAGGTGAACACTAATCCTCAGCTTTGACTATGATTAAGTAGTTTTTTGTTATAAGGTCCCAGGTCCACAAGCACCAAGTCCAATAGAGACAGAAGAATTTCCTAGGGCCACAAGTACACTTGTCCTTCTTTACTAGCAATAAGCCAGAGAAAGCACACATTCATTTATACCCCACTTAGGAGCAACAGGTGTGTATCCAGCCTCAGCCTAGCCAAAGTTCAATGTCTATGGCAACATACTCTTGGATCTGGGTACTGCGTGTGCCCCTCATGCTGATCAGTCCTTCCTGATCTTGATCCTACGTTGTTGGAAGCATCTGATTCATAATTTTTTGTATTCACTACTCCCAATTCATGCGTATAGTGAGGACTAGATAATAGGAGGATGCTAACACCTTTACATGTTCCCAAAGGAAAGAAAGAAGGGTGAAGAGGTGTTTTACAGAAAGAATAACAAATGCAAAGGCTTGAAGGCAAGAAAAGCTGGGTTCTTTCATGAAACTGCTAGTGCTTTAGATGGAGTGGATTTTGAGTGGCCAGCATAGGAAGGAGGGAAGAGAGGGAGTTGAAGAGGGAAGCAGGAGAGAGGCCATAAAAGAACTTACATGTCACACTGGAATTTAAACTTTCCTTTCCCTTAGGCCAGTAGAGAGCTATTGAAGGGTTTTGAGAAAAGGATTATGTCACTACATAATTCAGTGTAAAGAAATATTACCCTGGTGACAGTGTGAATGTGAACTTAAGGGGGCAAGATAGGAGTCTTGGAAACCATTTAGGAAATTGTTACCATAGTGGACTGTGAAATGATGATGCCATAATTCAAGGTGCTGGCTCCCCAGGTGGAGAGGACATATTTGAGAGATTGAACAGACAGTATTTAGTGGTTAATTGGACATGAGGAAGGACATAGGATAATTATGCTTTTTGTAGCCCTTCCTCCTTCATCATTCATCAAAGGATGTTTTTGTAACACTGTTACTCTCCCATGTTTTATACTTCACCAAGCATGTATTTAAATCACAATGTTAAAAGCCTGAGAATGTTCACTCATTTTTGCTTTTTTATTGTCAATGCCTAAGACAGCAAAGATAAAAATGTATCTTTGAACAATTACATCACTTTCCAGCAAAAAAAAAACAACACAACCAACCTTGAACATAATACTCAAGTATGAATAAGATAAACACAAGGTACAATTTCCATCCATTGTGATACAGCTTTATGTGTTATTTCAGTATAACCCTGAACTAAAAGAAGTCTAAGAAAAGATATATTTTAAATTGTTTTCTGGTTAACCCTAAACTAACCAGAATTTTCTTTTTATATCAATATTTATAATTGAAAATCTTATTAAACTTAATCCCTTGCTTTACTAAATACATGATACCAAACATAATTTAAACTTTTGTTGAATCCAGGTTATTTTTGTACCCTTTAAGTCATTATTATAAATAGAAATGATGAATTACCTTTCAACCCACTCTATACTCAGTAATGACTTGGTTCATGAAATATACCAAAGGAAGGTAAAGAAAGCTTCTTTAAGAAACAAATAACTTAGTATTAAAAAAAATAGCATAGTTTCAAATGGGATCTTTTAGAGTTACCTTTCAGGAACACTCTGGGATTTAGACACTGCATGTGTGGTCACGGCAGAAAGTGAGGGTTGGGGGTGCAGTAGTGCAAATGCCTCAAAAGAGAGGGGCCTGGCTAGCATGTTTAAGACCAAAAGGGAATGAGTATAGTTAGATTTGAGTGAGCAAGGAGAAGAGGCACAGGGATAAGATCTGGAGAGGCTGCCAGCTTTGGTGGTTTCAAAGCCTAACTACCAAGTACTTTTTCAGGCCCTTCTCTAAGAGCTGGGGCCTATTGGTCTCATCCTCTTGGACGGAGGCTGGTGACTGACTGGCAATGTGGGTGGAGTTATGCTGTGCCAATCTCTGGGTCCAGACTTTATGAATCTGATGCCTTCTCTTACTGTTCCTTGGGAAGCTTGCTCCCAGAACTGTGAGATGTGCCAGCCGTGCGAAG